GCCTGTTAGCTTTCTTCTGAAGCCTTGGGCTATTAGCTGGTTTTCCCTCCTCAGTCTGTCTCTTTCAGGTAGAAACAGAGAGCGAAATAGACAGAAAGATTACAGTCCAATTTGTTGTGGCTTCCGCAGGACCAGCAAGTTTTGTTGCTGCTCCAGGAGTTTGTTCATATTCCTTCCAGGAATATAAGGGTGTCCTCCTGTTCCTTGCATTCTTACAAGACTCACTCTCTCCTTATGTTTTTGCATCCTGTTGATTTTCACAGAAGTGCTTTCACATCCCAGTGATTCCCCTGCAATATGTTGCCATATGGCTCAGTTTATAGCCTTGATTTATTCAAAGCCCTGACTTCTATTGCTCTGCCGTTATTCATTCCTTGCTAATGAAAGGAGGGGAGAAGTTAGACTCGCGGAGCTTTCGTTGGCGGCACAGGTCTCGAACACAAAAGGCCCCACAGGTGATGCTTGGCACTGAAATGTCTCATAATGAGCTTCCTCGGCGCACAGAGACACAGGAAGAAATATGGGATGTGTGTGAGAGAGAGAGCGAGAGAGTGACGGATGGCAAGGTGGGGTTAGATATCGTCTTGTGCGAGTTCATGTGCGAGGGAAGGGAAGGTGATGGAGGGGAGGGAAAGGGGAGGGCGAATGGAGATGGAGAAAGATGTTGAGGGATAGGGTGAGGCCGAGGGCAGAACAGGAAGCATGAGCAAGAGTAGGGAGGGAGACAGATGTAAGGCAACAAATGAGACCAATAAAACACATGGGCAGGTTCCTTCGGGGAGTCACGGATCCTTGTTTTCTTGACAGAGGAACACAGGTCTGTCCTCAGTGATTACTTATGCTCTGTGTCTCTGTCTTTTCACAGCAATTTACCTCCAGAACCCCCCCCTCCGATTCCCTCCGATTCCCTCAGCCAATAACAGTGTTACCTTAAATATTAATACATAGCCAGATTGTGTTTGTTTCATTATCTATAGACCGACAGACACTCTCCCTCTCTGAGAGATAGAAAATGGGAGTCCAGCTCAAATGTATCTATAAATAATTTCAGGGTTGCGAAATTCAAATTGCATCATGTGTAGGTTCGCGCAGCTGCAAGGTCGAGCCCTTTTGTTTTACTCGCTGCTCAGAAAAAAGCAGCGCAGCCTTTAAAAAAAACCCTCGTTCAGCACCACAGACAGCTCCGCCCTAACCGCTGTCTGCAGATTGCGCGAGCAGACCAACAGATGGTACAAACCAAAAAGAGGAAGAATAACTGACAAATTAAACTAAATAAAGTGCAAAGTTTTTGTCCCTGACCCAAAGTACTTATCATTCATACCGAACTGTAGAGCTGCACCAACACAAGGTGTTCTGCCAAAAGCTGCATCAGAGATGATAACGTTGCAGCATGCTATGCAATTAGTTCCTCTTAGGCCAGAGATATACTCAACTTACAAATATTTATCAAATTAATAAACATTAAAAGACCCATTACTCATCTTTAAATTCTTATCAACTAAATTAACATTGGGATGACATTAGCCTTAACTGACAGACACATCCAATATTTCATTAAAAGCTGCAACTGCATTTTAGTTTTAAATGCCAGAACCTCTTCCATTATACAAGCACTCAAATGACTGATGAACATAAACTACTAGGCATATTTTTAGTGTGTGTAACCCAATATGCAACCTCCCAAGTAACACCCAAGGGACATTATTCAACATTTGGTTATTGGTATAAACAAACAATAAAGAGTGTCAATCATTTTATTTTCATTGTGAATTAGAAAATGGTCGGCGTGCCACCTGGCACCCCATCACATGCCGATCGAAAGTGTTCTAGAGTTTTTTGTGAAGTAGGCTGGCAAAAGTGTTTTTGTAGCAAGGCTGCTGGGAGCGCTTATTATGTGCAACTACTCAGTGCCTTTGACATTTTACACATCAAAAACTAAAAGTGGTCAGTATTATTGGATACTTTTGTCTGAGAAAAACATTGATCATAAAGTCCTCCTTCAGATTAGTGCTGAAACTATGAATGTTTGGATGGATTCATGTGAATTCAATGTAAATTCAACTCATTAAAAATGATGATTTGTTGTTTTTACTAACTACTAACTAACTACTATTTTGGACAGTTGGACTCACAAAACAAGCAAAAAAATGGCACATTGTTGGATAGGGAATTGTGTTTTCATTATTTTCTGAGATGATCTATACTAAACATTAATTTACAATTGGAAAAGCAACTGACTGATTAATTAGTGATGAAAATAATCTTTTATTTTAGTCATGATCAAGTCCAAACTGTCTATGAAATGTGAATGAGTTTCCCAAAGCCCAAGGTGACATTTTCAAATATTCAGTTTAAAATTATGTAAAACAGAGAAAAAAATAATAATAAAAATAACTTTTGAAGTAACAGCAGATGTTTGGCATTTTCCTTTGGCAAGTGACTTAAATGATTATGATTATCAAAATGGCAGATTCATTTTCTGTTGAATGAATAGTTGATGGATGATTTTAGCTCTAAACCTAACTTTCACCATGCAGAACATGTGGTATTGATTGCTCCAGTGTACTCAACTCTTGAACCAGACTTATCCTGACAATCTCAGACATATCTCCTCTGGCAGATGGAAACCTAAAAACCTTGCCAGGTTCAGCTTGAATGGCAGGGCTGTATCACAAAAATAAGATCTGGGATCAGGAATTTTATTAGATTTGCTTGATGTTTTAGATGGCAATTATATTTAGTTGGATTGATTGTGGGCTAATTAAATGTGTGGTCTTAACATGACTCAAAGTAAACCTTCAGGTTAACGAGCAAAATCATAATTATCTCATAAATCAGCTTCACGGTCAGTCAAGTGTGCACACTCACCCGTACACAAATACACACTCATTTGGTCATGCGGCTCTGAGTAAAAAGTCTGTGTTTTAGCATGTCTAAGTAGGTAGTATACAAACAGACCAGGGTTTAATCCTATTTCTCATGAGAGCAGCCACTGGGAGAAGGAGGCAAGAGTTTGCCAGAAGCTTATTTTCACCCCAGTGCAATTCCACTCCCAGGGATTGGGGCGCTTCCACTTGTTTGGTGTTTGGAGGGGGGGGGGGGCAGGGCAGATGCATAAATTATTTAAGCAAATGTGTATCGCTGGAGGGGACAAATGATAGTGAGAACAGGGCCGCATGGAAAAAACAACAATTTGTCAGAAAGTGCCTTTTAAGTGATCTATGTACCACTTATCCAGAGTGAGTTCACAACACAGAGGAGGGTTTAGACTCTCAAGGGCACCTTGTTCATTGGTATATTGTTCTCGGTCTTAAACTTTTATCCTGCCAGTTATGAAATGCCTGTCTGAGTACCTCGCTGTTTATAAGCATGCAGATGCTAGGGAAATATGGATGTGATATGAAAGACGATGTAAAATAGCAGATAATGTGATTCTGCTGCCGTTGGTCAGACTGTGTACTTAAAGTACTTTTTTTCCCCTTTACTTTTTGCCTCAAGTGATCCAAAGTCCTTTGTGTCTTTTTCGAGAGTAATGTCTGTACAGCTCATACTTGACGTCAGATAAAGAGGTTATGTTCAATATTGACGCTAAAGTTAAAGGTGTTATTCTCATGCACTGTCCTCTGCTTAGCTTCATGGATATAACCTCATGTCCACATCAATAAAGTTTCTGGACCATTTTCCATGCCTTTTATTTTTGAGTGTTTTACTTTGAACCGGGTGCTAATTTTGACCCACTGGCTCATCTCCCGGAAGCCACTCAGACTGTGCACAAAATACAAGGACCTTGCAGCACCCTTGGCAATGCACAGATTGTGATTTTAAACAAATTCCGCATCACTGACTGGCTTGGTCTCAGAACTGTACACCTGATGGTAACATTTTCTTTTTTTTTTGTTTTTTTACACAAAGAACAAACAGCGGGCTATAAATCAAAGCTCCCCTAACATCCTGCTTTAGCTGAAGTTTTTCTTTATATGCTTTTATTCTTTTTCATTGTTTTTGTTTTCAAGGATTCTCTCCTGCCTTGCAACAAGAATTTAATTTTGTAATCTTACCAGTGCACTGTAGCAAGGTCTCCAGTCTTGCCTTGGAAAATTGGCTCTCGCAATGCACCTTGACATAAGTGGATGTGTCCTACAGTACTGCAGCTTTGTGTGTTGCATATTTAAATCTTGCATGAAAAGTTCCATTCTACAGTGGAAATAGCGCAGAGCTTTCTGGACAGCTTGAATTGATATTTTACTCTTTTATTATGAAGTAGTACCTTTATGCTCTTTTGTGCTCAGGGCCTGCTTTGAGCTGTACTATCCCTACCATGAGCCATCTCTCTGTTCGAAGAAAGGAAGTTGTTTAACTTTCATTGACACAGTTATCTGCTTTTATATTGGGTCAGACAGCAATGTAAGAGACATTTGTGTTGATAGACATTGAAGGAAATCATATGATAATCCTTCATACTGTAGGGTAATGTTTAGTAGACAATGTTCATGAATAATAACTCTTTAACCTCCATACATTTTGTAAGTGTGTATTAATCCAACACTTAGAACTTTTCATATGAATCACCTGAAGCTGTGTGTAGATTATAAGTGTATATGATAAGAATCTTAACTCAAGGGCCACTTACTAGATTCATATTGTGGCTTTCAGACACATCTTATGGTTTTCATCAGCACATATCTGGAAGGCATTTATACATAAATAAATAATAGAAAAGATAATTGATTTAATGTATGTAATTATACATTTCATGTTCGTATAAGATATGATGACAGCTTAATATGTTTACAACTGTGCAGTATTATATTGTATGGAACAAAGCTGTAAAGATTTGAATCATATTACCACTAAACTATAGTGTGTTTCATCTTGTGTATTAATTGTTAATTTACAGCTCGTGAATGCTACATGAAGTGTTACCAGTAAATCTTTATTTATGAATGGAATTTACAAGAATGACTTGACAAGCGATTTTGTTTGTGTTTGTGTTTTTGCAGACATAAACATGGCGGGTGAGCCCAAGCCATACAGGCCTAAAGCAGGCTCCAAACGGCCACTCTCAGCTGTTTATAGGTAAGAATTTTCCCTCCTTTACATGCAGAGGTGCAGCCCTTTCGGCATAAACATTAACAATCTTTCACATCCTGCTGCTCCCGCTGATGTAAATATGGAGTAATATTTGGAATATGAGGATTCCTGTTATATTCATTCTTTTATTTTTTCCTTTGAACCTTGAATTTCTAATTGAGTTTTGAAAGCTCTCCACATTTCCCAGCCTCGACTGGAGTTCGCTCGGCACGAGCCTGTAAAGCTCAAAGGAGATGCTGTTGTATAAGCTTCATTAAGCATGACCCTGATTTTCTGCCCTGTACACATCTCCTGGTCACAAACAGATCAAAGCAGTGCTTGTTTACTGCAGTCTAATGTGACAGAGGGCCAGACATGTTTTTTCTATTCACTGGGACGCGTTTATTTTTTTATTTTTTTGGGTACTCTGATAATTTCTCCATTAGCAAAGCTAACATTCCCACCAATTTACTCCTTTCTGAATTGTTGGTTTCTTGCATTGCACATCTTATTTTACTAATTCATTAGTTTGTGCATTGTGTTATTATGAACCCTCATTTGCGTTTTATAGCTGCAGCTGAAAACAGCCAGGATGTAATATGGTAATTATGGACCAGGAACAGGAAAGGCAAAAAACCAACACAACAGCCCTCTAAATTGAAATAGTAATACATTAATCCTAATGAATATTCCTGTGAGAATAACAACTTTTCAAAACAGCTCCTTCTTTGCTCCTCTTCTTTTATTTTATTTCTCTCCCTGAATTCTAAATTAGTTGCCATCCTGAGCGTGTACTTACCATTGATTTTCCTCTCCAGGGTCTAAGAAAAGATTTTTCTTTCATTCTCTGACTGTATTTCCCCTCAGAAACTTTTTTTTCTCTTTTGTTGATCTGTGTTCTTTGGATGCCAGCGTGGCTTAGACTTGCTTCATAACCTGCAGTGAGCTTTAGGCATAAACTAGACCGTGTCCATTTGAGTCAAAACAGCTAGAGTTTGATCTGCTTACTTTTGACGGATCCAGAATGGCTCTTTTTAAATGCAACCCATCCCTTTCTTCATCTCTTTCTCCCTGTCTCTCCGCGCACCCCCCCTTGTTTGTCTCTCTCATAGTGGTTATGAATTTGATTACGAGTACTACAGGGATGATTTCTACAGCAGGTATGTATCATTTACATTATGTTTTCAAATTTAACAAGGATGCGATTTACCGTTAGTTAATCCCCACCCCCCCTAGTTACTGTTGCTATGCCTGTCAAGCTTTCTGTTCTCACACCACACATATGCAGTTTGCAATGATAATGGAGGCAGATTTAGAAACAATAGGTACTTCATCTCAGACAGAAGAGGCTTCTCAAATCTAACCGGCAACTGGCTGAACTGGGCTAGCTGATTTGGTTAAAAACAAAGTGTCTCTGGCTTACTTTAGAATATATCTAGCTTACTAGTTTTAAAATGAGAATCCTGTAGGCTACATTAAATATGATTGCTACATAAATATTTCTGTGTTAAAAGAGTAAGGCTAAAGCTCAACTTCCAGGCTGAAGCTCCTCACCAGCTGCTGATCCACACTGAAGGCATGGCAATAAAGAAACAGCATTGCTTTTGTTTTGCAGTGTAAAACTAATTAGTCCCAGTATTGTAGATATGATAAGGAAAAATTTAATTTCATGCTAAAATAATCCTGTAAAAAAAAAAATTCAATAAAAACCAGGACAGGAGTTGCTAACATTACGTTTAATAAACTGTGATAGCTTCCAGGACCAGCCTCCACACAGTGCGGAAATACACAGTGGATCTGGTTCTGATCTGTTTAAGGTCATTTAGTAACATGTGAAATGTTCTAAATGACCTTAAAATCCAAATTTTGACAGACGTCACATGCCTAGTCATAGTTCCTAAGGTCTGACTGAACACGGTTCAGGGAGGAGTTTAGCGAAGGGTCAATAAGACATCCCTCCTGGATTTATGACTGTTCCTGATTAAAAGTTTTCCTTGTCAGATGTAATTCGGTAACGTTCCCACAGAGGCATCTTCAAATAGTCAACTTGTCAAAATGGCTGAACAGATCAAGCAGGCGACTCAAACGCGCTGATGAAGGGAACACTTGTTTTCTCTCTCATTCATCCGCCAGTGATCAGAGTGCTTATCTGTGGAGACATTTTCTAAATGTCAAACTTGTTGAGAGCCAGGACGGACATCTGCTGTCACCGAGAACAGTCGAGGCTGACACCTTCATTTGACATTTAACAACCTCTTCTCTTTCATCCTCTTCGTTTTCAAATGATATATGAAGGGATTACTGTATATGCATGCATGTAATGGTCTTGGTAGTTGTACAGAAAGAGGGATATTGGTAGAATCAACCTGTAATGTCTGTCTTTTATCTTTTGTGTGCTATTTGAGAGGAAGAACCCAAGAGAAATCCATGTGAAATCTATCCTGAAATGCAATTCTGGGAACAGATAATAGGCTTTCAAAAGAGGTGATGAAGAAATACAGGGAAAAAACCTTTTAGCTAGTAGACGGACACCTTCTGAATGCTATAGGTCCTCTTATAAAAGACAGTGACCTTATAGAAAAAGTGTAAGAAGTAAAGTGTAATATCTTTTCTTCTTTTCTCGAGGCTTTTTGACTACCACGGCAGAGTGGCCCCCCCACCCAGAGCCGTGATCCCCCTCAAACGCTCCAGGGTGCTTGCTCCCTCCTCCCGCCGTGGGAAGACCTCCTTCCCCATCAAAACATCCTCCTCTTCCTCCTCCTCATCCTCCAGACCTCCCACATCATCCTCCTCCTCCGGGCTCAAACGTACGTACAATAAGGTGCTTTTTACTTGTCTTGTCTACACTGTACGAGTCAGATTTGACATTATTTAATTTTTTTGTTTGCAAAAGAACGCTGGCTAATTACGCTAATGGCATTCTGTCCTTTTAAAGAAAAAAAACATAGGCTTAATGCAAATCTAAAAAAAATGCCGCTCGGAGAGAGAAAGCAGTGGCGTGATTCAGCTCCGCTACTTATGCCCTGCTGCTATAAAAAGCTATTTAATTCACTCCAGCAGCTCAGAACAAGCCACACTGCAATGTAGAGCGAAACACAAAATCGCAAACACAAATATAATCCGAGCTTTGCGAGCAGCACCCATTCAGCAAACAGCGCTATTGCTGTCATCTAGGATCCATCTGGATCTCATTTGGTCCTCTGATTAACTGGTGATGCATTACAACATCCTGAATGTAATTAATGTGAGATTGGGGCCATCTCTGTGGAGCTGTGGTCAGCTGTGTTTTCCTAAACGCAAGTCTCTATCCGTAGCCTGTGTAATTGGCTACAGTGTTTGTTTCATTGTTGCCTGTCTAGGCCGGTGTTATCAGCGCGAGCAGCTTGGTAAGGTCTGTCAGGAGGACCCAGTTGCAGTTGGTATTATAGAGAAGGGGAGAAAAAAAAGCCCATCTCCCATCCTCTTTTTGGACAGAGTCAATGCATTCTCTCCTCTGTCTAAGCAGTGCTGCTGTATGTTTGGGAGACTAATTTGCCCCTGCCAGTACTGTGAAAAATCACTGTTTCTATTGACTTTGGCCTAGATAGATTGGACAGCAAAATAAGGTTAGCTTGTCCAAACAACGAGGTGGGTTAGTGTGGGCAGTTTGAACCACTTGGGCTGTACGAGCAATAATTCACTTGAGGGGAAAATAAAAGAAAACACATGGATAAGAAGATGGATAGTTTTTGTGTTTTCCACATTAAACCTGGTTTGACGTACAGTGTCAGTTAATGAAGAAAGGGATTTGGCCTTTTTTACCAGTTTTGTCAATTAAGGATAGACGGGGAAGTTGTACTACTTATTTTTTAAAGTCATAGGCCCTTTTGTTATATATAGTGTTTAAGTATGAGTAGTTTTCATGATGTGTCTTTGCTCTTCGCTTCTAATGTTTCCCTTTATTCTCTTACTCAGCTGTCAGAATATCTAGAAAATGAAAAATAAAAGGATTAACCTTTTTTCTTCTTCTTACCTTATTAAACAAATTACCGACATGTTCCCTTTTACAAGCTCACATAACTGTTTGAAGTTCACTTTCAAAAAAGCAAGAATTGGTCTTGAAAGTAATAACAATGGTTGAAATATCAGGTTTTCTTCCATCATGTCTTAAAAGTCTGACTCATAAATCCCTCCAGCCTAGTAACTTCAACAACTATTAAGAGTCATCACCAGCCCCAAAAGTCTTTGTCCAGTTTAATCTTCATAGACCAGTGATTCAAGAGATCCTCACTATCCCCAAGAGAAAATCTTTGCGGTTCATCATGAGGTCCTAAAATTAGATCCATTACTCATTCCCTAAATCTTTCCTAATGCTTATTAAATAACAATGGCTTTTTTCTTCTTCTCCCTTTTCCTTTAACCCGAGCTATTAAAAGATGCTGCGTTGATGAAAACGATGTTTGATTAGGATGTGTATGTTTTCTCTCTCCGGCTTATGTGACTGATAGCACAAAAGGAAAAAAGGCCTGGAGGCGCCGATAAATTAGAAACTGTTCCACCCTTTCTTATCATCAAAGCTGCCCAGAGCGAGCTCAGATAATGCTGGAATAAGAAAGCGAGTGTATATGTGTGTGCATTCATGTACGAATGGAAGCAGGTGATACTGAGAAGGAGATAGAGACACTTCAGTGTGTTCCACCATCGAGATATCATTGTGTATTCCCTGTTTTCTCTCCTTTTTGCCCCCCAGAAAGGTCGATTTTCTGCTTCTATGGAGCTTTAGGGTTGTTGATGGCTGCTTTACAAAACAACATGAGACTCGTTCTTGTGAATTCCACACACATTCTACGGGTGTATTGCCTTGAGTGGGGCATTATATACCCCCTTTTCTCTCTTTCTCATGCACACATTAATCTTCCTGCTCCGTTTTTGAAGATGCATTGACAAATACCGTACAGTACGCATTGAATCTCACCTGGGCTACATGCGTTCTTTATCAGCATGAATTGTGTTGAAATATTAAAATGTCCTTTTTAGGGGAATCCAGCTCAGAGAGAGCTGATGTATGAGATTTTTTTTTATCATGTGCTGACATCTTCTCTAACCGTTTATGTTTTATGCATGTCTTTATGCTCATACATACATAATAGCACAGAGACATATGAGGGTCTCTGCATTGTGATGGGGTGGGCGTGTAAATATACATAAAATATAATAACTTAAAGAGCCGCGTGCAGACATGATACCAATGTTTTGATTCTGTGCCTGTCTCCTGCCTCTGATTTTCCTGCTGAAGCTTTACAGGAACTCGTGGGTTTGTTTACCGAGCACTCATCCATCCTCTTTGCAGCCCTGACAGAATCCGATAGGTGTCAAAGAGAATTTTATGTTTTCTCCTCAACTTCTGGTGTCTGCTTGTCCTTCCTCTCAAAAGATGACACATTTCAGCTGCTGAGGGTTAAGGAATGCGATTATCTTATTACTTTATGGTCTAAATTCTTTAATCTGCTCAGTTCAAGCTGCTAAGAAGTACACCCTCATTTCAGCAAACCATGAAACAGGCCAGATTGAATTAATGGTGACGTCCTTCAGATGAATATATATATATATATATATATATATATATAATTTATTTTATTTTCAACATTGGTTATTTGCACATGATATTTCAAGGTTAAGACTCAAACTTAGACATGATATGGCTACGCTTCATTTACCCAAAAGCTCAGATATGTATTGTAAGACCCGAAGCAAAGCAGCAAGGGGGGAGTAATTATTCATAAGGCAGTAAACAGAAGTTGAGGGAGGGCAAATTGTGCCCCCTGTTTCTCATGAAGTACTGTTAGTGAGGCAATAATCAGGCAAAGTTGCAGTGGGTGTATGAAGTGTAGAAACACAATGATATACTTTATTAATCCAGTTTAGTGGATGGACTGGATTAACAGACAAAAGTACTGTTTTGCATTATATTAAAATACATGCCACTTGTTATTCACATTTCGGCTGCAAAATAACCTTTAGCAAGGTTTTTGCAAATAAAATCTATGTGGATATTTCAAGTAGTGAATGAGCTGCTTTCCCTCTGCGATTCAATCGTTTGTTCATTTGACTGAACTCTGTGTGCTACATTTGAATTTGTTTGGATTTCAGTTACATTCTCAGTGGTGAGATCCTTTGGTAGTGCTTTATTTCATGGGTCCCATCATTTTATCATAATTTCTTGGAAAAAAATATGTAATTTGGTACTTCAGAGACCATCTTCGGAGACAGAATTATTTGTGTTGAGTTTATGAGCAGCTGTCTAAAATCTTTAAGTCTGGAACAAAACTGGCAAATATTTTTAAACCTAAGTCAATATTCATTTATATTTGGAACATTGGAACAACCATTTTTTTTAATGGTTGTTGCACTGTATAATACTTTTCCTTTTTTTTTTTGTATCTTCAGCACCTGCTGTGCACTGAATAAAAGACTCTAGATTATTACTTATTGAACACTGTCTCCATTTACCCAGTAATTAGTTACAAATTGCATAGTCCCTTCCTTTTACAGCTTAAATTCTTCAAAAACAATGACGGATTCAAAAAGTGCATTGGCAATCATGAAAAGAATAACTGGTAATTGTGTTAGATATTAGAATAATGAAAAGCTTTTAAAAAATGTTTAAAGTTAGGAAGATTTCAGTCCTGGTTGATTTGAACTATGATTACTGGTTATTGGTCAGTTCTTAAGCAGCTACTTTATCAGAAATAAATAAGAGAAAATACAAATTTTCTGCGACGGCTTCAAAATAAACCTGTGCTTTTAATGTGAAGCAGCAACAGAAGAAATCTATTTGCATTAACAGTAACTTAATAGCTCTAATATGGCTGTAGGGGAGTAAACTGTAAAGCGTGAGGCTGATATCAATGAGAAAAAACTGTAACGCTGGACTGAATACTGCATAATGTCCTGTGAATTCCTTGCGCATTTGAAGACAATTTGCATCCAGCATGGGAATGGCGAACTCCGCCACTGTCAATTAAAGCTATTATATAGAGAGATGATAATGGACGGTTGAATGTCTATTTATGAAAGAATAGAGACTAAAAGTACTTATCACTTCCAGTATTTGATTTCATGAAAACGTAAAAAAAATAAAATAAAATGTAAGGCTTTTCAACATTTTATATGCACCCAGCTGAGCAGATACTATCCTAAAGTGTAAACAATCTCCAAACGTCATATAATCATCTAATGCCAACTGAAAGATAGCATACAGTTTGTTCAGATATTGGCATTATTGAGCAAAACTTGAGCAGCACTGCACAGCATGGTGGGCGTAAGCTGTGCACTAATCTTCAAATTGAAAGCAGCAGGTCCACAGTTTCAGCTGGGTAACTTTGCAGTTGGCCAGATTGAGATGTTCTTCCCTGGGGAAAGTGTGACTCAGAGTGATGATATGATATCCAAAACTTAAAGACTAAGAGTATTAACAAATGACAGCATGCAGTCTGTGCTAAACTGTATGAAGCAGCATCATTAAAATGTGTGTACAAATGAAATGAGGACAAACTAAACGCTGCTTAAAGTAGCTATAAACGAATCTGTGTTTGTGTTTCTGTGCCTTAGCAGTGAAGACGGACCAGCTTCAGACTATTAAACGGGAGCTGACTCAGATCAAGATGAAGATTGACTCTTTGCTGGGACGCCTGGAGAAGATCGAGAAGCAGCAGAGAGTCGATTCTGGTGAGAAACAGACAGAAGAACTAGAGCTGGTCGGGAGAGAACGGGAAAAGGACACTGACCACTGAGGGAGGGAAATTAAGAGCACACACAGGCTATAAGTCTTAGTGACACTGTGGGAGATAAGAGCAGTAGAGCTCTCCGTCATAACAGCAGACAGGTGTCAACGCCACGCTGACTCAGTTTATATGAGAGGTCTTTATAGATGCCCTACACTACAGAACAGTCTCAGAGGGCAGCTCCCTGTGAAGGTCATTCAGACATTAAGCCACATTGTGCATGCCTAGTTTTTCCACCATGTTTGTGGTGGTGTATTCAAACCCTCTACAAGAGAGTCTTTTAACTCCATGATAGTTGAACACCAAACACATCACACCGCATCTTGGTTGTCCTCCAGACAAACTGTGATTTGTTCGAAGTGAGAATGAAAACTAACAATGAAAAATACAAGGTTTTCTGGTCAGAAGGCAATGGTTGTTTGTATCTAACAGCCAGCAACCAGGTTGTGTACAAGGTTGTGTACCATTTACCCAGCTTTTAAATTGTCCAAAAATCTTCTTATTGGTTGATACGTTTGGTCTCTCCCATCTGTACTTGAATATAACCTGGGGCTGGGTCCTTCAGGGCTTTAAAATTAATCAGAAAGATTTTGTGAACAGTTCACTGGTAGCCAGTGAAATGATGCCAGGATTGGTGAAGGGTTCAGTTCAAACCAAAGGACCTGGGTTTTGAATTTGTTTACTCTACTTACTCAGATGTACAAACGTATAACTTGAGCAATTATAATGGTGTAATTGATTAATTAAATAACTGTGTTCGGCAAATTTTTGAGACGACTGCATGCAAAGTCAGTGGATATATGAGAATTTATCCATGGCTGCACAAATTGACACCAATGAGCAAAACATGTATGAAGCTAAAGGAAAAAAACAGAACTGAAGTTTCTAGTGATTTCTGAACACAAGCACTTGGTGTGTCTGTTGCTAGGTATCTTAAGATAAGATATTCCTTTTAAAGCTAACATACAGTTGGTGCATTGGCTGAAACTGTTATATTTGTACATGTGACACATAATCTGTGAAAAAATCGTGTCCCTGTGGCTCCCTCCAAGTGCTCCTAATGGCATTTGTAAGAATCCACTGCACTTGAACGAAAACAACCAATCAAAGCCAGGAGTCGTCTCTAACATACTGTCAGTCACTGCTCTGCTGCACAGGCTCTGTAAGTCCCCCTTCCCCTTCCACTCAGTCAAGCTCATTATCTTCTGCGCGCGGTTTCAAGAGAAGCTTCGCAAACACAGAAAAAAGCCACCAGCAATGAAACAACTGCAAGTCCTCCTTTGCTTACAACGGCATTTAGTGCAAAACATGTGTGCACATGTTCCAGCTCCACACAAAGCTTTGGGCTCATTATGTCAGACGCCATGGCGCTCATATCAACGAGAGGCAAAAAGGCATGATGACAAACCGTGGGGAATAACGTTTGAGGGGATATAGTGGTGTGTGTGTCTGTGTGAGTGTGATGTTAGCTGCACAAAGCAGAGCATGTACAATTTATTTTTCTGTGTTATTAGAAGTTGATGTAACTTAATAATAAAACGGCACTCCCCTCCCGTAGAAGTATCCCCTGTTTCTTGCCTCTTACCGTCGAAGCAGCGTTGCTAAGGCAGTCTAGACCATCCTCTCATCCCGCTGTATACGGCGTTGCAGCTGCTTCTGAAGCCTGGGGCGCTCTGCCCTGAGGCCGCAGAGTGCTGGAGGGGTGTCTTTGAGAAGACGAGTCACGGGAGAGGACCTGGGTCTTGGCAAGGCTCACGTCGTGGAGAGAGAGTCCACTGAGGCATGAGGCTTCGTAGGGCACCCGGCGCCTTCTGCTCTGCTGTGGGTTTAATGGAAGAGGCTTAGCAGATTGAGTAGAGTATAGTAGCATATCTTCTAAAATTCTAGCATTTAGAGAAAATTCCAAAAAATTGTAGCCTCGCTTAGCACAGAGCTCTAACACCCTGCCTACACAGTTAAAGCAGCACATTAGCAGCTTCAATCCTCCGTCAGTATCTGCACTCTTTTAATTCAGTCTTGCTTGGGTGAAGTGGAAAGCTAAAAATAGACGCTTCGGGTTGCAGTTATGCTTGTAAAGCTTGAGTGAAATATAATAATTTGGCAGCTGATGCAGACAGCTGCATTGGTTATAATGAGAGTGTGTCTGTTGATGATGATGGATCACTGAAAGGTTAGTCTGGAATATGTTTGGAGGTGATGGCCAAGTAAACTTCTTATGTACTGCAAACCAAAGAAAACGGGGACTGTGATCAATCTCTGAATTGAATCTCTGTGCCCTCCTTTCTCTCTCAGAGGCTCAAAGAAAGTACGAGGACAACTGTGACTCCCTGCATGAGGAGTCCGTGTCAGAGACGGCAGAAAACTCCGGGGAGGAGGCCGGCGAGGGGGCGCTGGACGTGGAGGCAGGAGAGATGACCGATGGAGGCGAGGACGACTACGACGAGGAGGGCAGCCACCATCTGGTAAGAGAAACGGTTGAAAGGGCTGACGGGGAGGGAGAGTGCAAGGCACTTTGGGAGATCTCAAGCGGGCAGACAGTCTCTGCCTTCTGAAAGTTAATTTTCCAGAATTATTCATGGCCACAGATCTGAGAGAGCGGGTCTTCACATGAGTGAATGGTGAGGGCGCCTGGACTGACAGTTTTTCCCTGTCGACCCCAGCTCAAACAGTGAAAGCAGGGCCCTTCACAGGCCCACACAAAGGCACAAGCTCACACACGTCGTACACCCCCTTACAGGCTATAATTAAAGCTGCTCAAGACGCATGAAAGAGCGTTTAAGACCGGACCTGCATGGACTGGTGTGGATCTGACCGTGAAGTAGCGGGTATGGAGCAGTACGAGGAACTTTTCTTTCACAAGGTCGCCGAAGAGGTAGCGCCAATGTAGAAAAGCCAACAGAAGCTGTTATCTCAAAGATTAAATTATTTTTATTTTTCGTTCTTTTTTTTTTTAAATGGTTATTTAATCTGTAAAATGTCAGGGAAAAAATGCCCATTACAAATTCCACGAGCCCAAGGTGATGTCTGCAAATTGCTTGTTTTTTCCAACCGACTGTCTAAAACTCTTTGGAGAAAAGCAGCAAATTTCAAGCTGGAACCCACAAATATTTTTTTCGCTTGAAGGTGATTAAAAACAATTCAGTCAAATTGTCTGACACTCCAATACTGTAATCTGAAGATTGTTTCTTGTCACAATGCTTGGTGTCGTCACATCGATGAAATGATCCATACTTTTCAGGATTGCTGAGCTGAATGGTTTATAACAGACTTTAAAATTCAGTTTAGACCTTCGGGGAGTCACTTTTGGCTAAAATAAAATTTTCTGTGATAATCACTAGTCTATTCACCCATATTTCACTGCAACTAATGACTTCTTCTTAACATTGCAGAGACAGTTTGACTCAGATTACGCAGAGTTTAAGGAATGAAACCAATATTTTCTCCAAGGCAGCAACTGATTATTTTTTCTTAATTATCAATTAATTATTCGTTAATGGATTCATCATTTTGTCTGTAAAACTGTGAAAAAATGTCCATCACAATTTATCAGCGCTCAAGGTGATTTCATCAACTTGCTTTTCTTAAATCAACAAAATCCAAAGATTTTCAGCCATTCTCCCAACTAAGAAGATAGGAAACTAGGGAACGTTGGCCATTTTTTATAGAAAATGACACTGATCCATCAAAATAGCTGAATATTTTTTTCACCAATCAACTCATCGATAATCAAAACCCGAAATTTTTCTCCGCATTCATTTCTATGTGGGGCAGGATGAGACACGTTCACTTCCCATCGCGAATTTACCCGCCTACTTCCATCTGATTGAACTTTGCAAAATCACAATGTCATCTAATGTTTAGCCAGATTGAGAGTTCTTGTTCTCATTCAGGAAACATTGTTTGTTTATATTCATGTGTTATAGCTGCATGGTGAAAAGCAGCAGAGAAGGAGGGATGCTGATTGTCTGTAGAGTGTAAGGACAGTGACAGCAATGACTGACAGTAACCGTTTGATAAAATCCTGTATAATCCTATACCCCTTGACTGCAGCATAATTGTTTAAACTTTATTTTAGGTGTTTAACTCAGAAGCTCATACAAAAGCTTTTTATCGGCTGTATTCAGTCGACCATTCACAATCGGCTGATCTCAGTCACCTACCTATTACATGATCAGTGCTCAAAAATGCACTTTAATTGGATAAATGGGATCGAAGATGAAAAACTAACTTGAAGTGGTGTCTAATGAGACACTCAAAATGTTATGTTTACATTGTTTTTCATTGAAAATAAAGTGGGTTTCTTCCACTTAAAAATAACATTGTAGCATTCAAAGTAAAAAATCAAATGACTGTCTCCTTTACACTGTTGTGTTCAAATGTCTGACCCTTTTTTAACTTTATGAAATTATTTGTAGCTATTATTTGCACACTGGAGGCTTTGAAGCACCCACGGTGGTCCATAGTGTTAAGTAATCCATATGGCCATTTCAGTTTATTTCACAACGCACCATTTTTCAAGTTCAAGAATTGACATCGCAGTAATTATCCTCGGTTTCATGTGGGTTGAGCTGTGCAGTGTGGCCATGCTTTTAACCTGCTATGCTATATTTATTAGCCATTAACCAGCTGAGCTTGGGTATGCTATCCTCGATGAAAGCTTGGTGCCCTCACTAATAGAAGACATCATTTTTCAGAGACGAGGTGGAAGAGATTTATTTGTTTCCTGAAGGTCACGTTGATCACAGATGGTGATAATGTACCACAAAGTCTGTTCCACAGGTCGGCTTCACTGTTCTTGTTGAGCGTATATCAGCAACGACCTTTTTTAGAAAAGGTTAAATACAAGCTGTGTGCTCAGTTTAAAATGCTACAATGTATCTGTGATTTTACCTTCCTCTCTCTCTCTCCTTTCCAGATAGAGAACCATGTATCGGATATTGACAACTGAGATCAGGTAAGAGCTCTGGACTTCTGTTTAATCCAAGTGTCCATTACAGCAGCTGTGAGGTTGTTCTACAAGACTGCTTAAGGTCCTGCCGGCTCTTACAGCCAGTCCTCATTAAAGGGTCTTACATCCGGTCCTCGTTAAAAGCTGTAACCACTGAACTGTGTCTTGAGCATCTCTAAACATTCGTTAATCATCACCTAAGTCATAAGCTCTATGACATTTAGAAAGACCAGCTCCACTGAAGGGCGGCTAATGCCGAATTCAACAGAGGGAGCAATAATGGCATTCCAATGGGCCAGAACTGCCTATAAACAACATTCATCTAATTGAATTGTGTGGAAGGGGGTATGAATGGCGAGGCCCAAGGTAAAGAGTTTCCTGCCTCCTGCCTCTCGGGGTGTGGGTAATGATGCAGCCGCATCATCAGTTGGCTCGGCACTGGCTGGCTCTTCATAGCGGGGGTGCTTAGCTGTGTTTATGAGTTGCGCACTGTTGATGTAACTTTGAGTTAATCTCTGTTACAGTCTTCTTTTTGCTTCTGGCTGAGCAAAATAAAATCCCAAAAGTGGCTCTGTTCATTGGAGACTGTAAAGCCGGGTTCATTTTTGGATTTAGTGTTAGTATTTTGACACATATGTATATCAGTTTTGGTCACATTTGGGTCCCTTTGATCAGCAGTTTTAATCTGCTTTTAGTCAGCAAAAACTAGTCTAGTTATCACCAGTGAAGTCTTATTCATGCATGTTTTAATGTTTAAGGCTTTTAAGCTTTTCTAAGCTGTCACCATCTTTAATGTGTAGTTACCATGGTTACAGGTGTTGTCCATTGCGAGGTTGGCAGAAAAGGCGCTATTTTCCTCTTTGTACGAGAGTGAAATTCACACAGAGTATTTGTTATTCTCCCAAACATCTATTTCTAAACTCTGCAGCTAAAAGGTAGATGGTATTAGGGCCATTATTCCTACCCTGACTGTCCGACATTAAGAAAATCTGCTTACCAGCACTAATAAACACATTATTATACCATGTTTGCTTAATCCACACAAAAAAGAAATGATGATAATGATAAGCAAATTTCTCAAAATGTCAAAGTATGTCTTCAAGAGTAGAATTAGAATAGAACATTTAGTCAGTTTTTGAATCATGTATGCATGTTTCCTGTTTCCATGCTTCTGAGCCATTCATTTGTCACTTCCTGTTCAATTTCCAGTGGGATTGTGGATGCATTTATTCCATAAATGTGTTCCTCTTTCAAAGAACATCCGCTAACACTGCATACAACAAGTCAAGCCTTTGCTTTTGAGCTGCATTTTACCACTACTGAGCACGCAATGTACCCCAATGTAATAATCATAGTTTTTGTTAGTTTAGTTTTAGTCCTGTCTTTGTCATGGCTAAAAGTTTGCCAACAAATAGTTTTGTCACAGTTTTATTGACAAAATCAACCCCATGTTTTTTGGGGGGGTTTTATGTGAGTACTAGCAAAAAAGTTCAAAGCAAATACCACACTTTCTCCCCATCTGCCTGTCCAGGCATCTGGTGTCCCAGTTCTTTCCACCTCTTAAGAAACCGTATGTTACACTTCAGTTTTCTATTTCCTTTCCATATGTCTCCCTTTTTTAAAATTCTATCAGCAGCCAAGTCACAAAGCCTCCTCACAGCACATACATTTAAAAACCTGAAAATCCCACTCGAGCTTGTGGAGAATATATGAATGTTTGGCTTGCAGGCCTACTAAGGGTAGAAAATCACTGTGAGAAAAACCTCAATAAGTCGTGTCCAGAAGGATTAGGGCAGCAGCTGCGGCTACCAGCAAATATTTCTGCACTTCCCAAGATATTTCTGAGGCCATTCAGAACGGACAAGCTTTAAAACTCAGGCTAATCCTCATCAGATTTACAGCATTATAAATAGCCACCATGTTTAAGGAGGAGACACAATCCTATAATGTGTTTTCATCAGTTTTCTCCTTTATCACTTCAGGATGAGGCAGCAGACACCCCCGGTCGGTGGTATTAGAATTCATCATCACCTTCAAGAGACAGAAAAGGATCTCTGAGGGCTCAAGACACCCATTCTGGACTGTAAGTTGTGTTCAAGAGATGCTGAATCACATTTAGATCCCCAACTGCGCAGCACAAGCCAAATGTGATGTGCTCTCTAAAGAAAATGTATTCAAGACCCATTTTAATGCATCGGCCTGAGTTTGCCTCATGGATATTCTGCGCAATTTATATTTCATTGCAAGAGGCTGACGGTATCATGTGCTAATCCTGTTCCTGAAAAAATAAAAAGAGGAAAATAAAGGGTTTTATTCTGATTTCTAAATTGAATTAGGTGGAGAGAAGAGAACATGACATTGTTGATCAATTGTTGCTGCTTTTATGAAATGTGTTTTTGCTGTAATTTCACAAACAGTTTTTCATTGAATTTCTGTTGTTGCTTAAAAATCGAATGAATAAATGACAGCCAGAACAATCTGCAGTATGATATTGAGAAAATGAATGAAACTTCGGCGCCGTCTGGTTCGGATTTGACTCCTATATATAAGCCAATAGCTGTGAGCATAACTTTATCCAGCTTTATCCATTTATCACACAAATACCCTGTAGGGCTGTTCCATCATATATTCCAACTCCTGCCAAGTTTCAGAAGCAGAAAGAGCTTCCTGTGGTAGAGAGCCAACACTGGCACAGGCCTCCTGCCAGGGAGCAGTGCCCTAACGTCTCAATGCGCTGCTCCCCGCTCAGCCTGTGCATCCCAACATGGACTGCTGCTGTTTGGGAGCCAACGCCCTTTTTCCTCCTCCTCTAACATCTCCCTCCGCATCCAGCATTGATTCTGTCTCATGTAGGCAAAGGAGCGAGGCCAGTTTTTCTAGAAACTGGGAAGCTGTATTATCTTTATTTATACATTAAAAGGCTTTGAGATTATCTAAAGTATGTGATCCGTGTTTCAGATCGCTTAAATTACGGAATAAAAATGTAATCTAACATGACACAATGGCAAATGCTTCGTCAAAACAGCCTAAATAAGTAGTGAAACAATACAAACCAGCACCCCATTTCTCTTAAAATATCCATAAAAGTTAATATTGTGGTCAGATGAACTGGCCAGGAGTGGATGATTCAGTTGGTTACAGTTTACTAACATGTTCATGATTTCTACCAGTTCAGATCTGTTATGTGAAGCAGCTAACATGCAAACATTTCAAATGCAGCTTAAGCTCCAGCTGAGCCATTATAATTAACCTGATTATAAATACATTTCTGAAGTGAATTATGTCACCAGTGACTGGATGTCGGCATGTTGTACTGTTAATTATTCAGATCATATTTGCCCTTCTTTTTTTTTTCCCTCAATATGTGACACAGTATATTTTCTCCAAACAATAACATACGCGTGTTTGTTGTCTCTGGCGTTCAGTTTCATTTAAAAGCCGTTCTCAGAAGGGGGTAGGTGTTGGGGAACTACAGCTAATATGCACCAGGTGTGCCAGCTGATTGGCCAGTAGCATCAGTTTGGCTCATTATGTGTATCAGCAACAACTTCAGTGCTTTAAAAGCTTTTAGGCGACTATTCAAACAGATTTAATAGTGTGGACGTTGTTTGTTACAGCCTAATTTATGTTTCTGAACAGTCAGCTGGCACACCTGGTATGTACGAGCTGTAACAACACCTCTAAAGGTGCAGTCGGGTTGGATTCCGCGAGGCAAAATCTTGCAGGTGCGGCAGGAAATGGTGTAGATGGGGTGTAAAACTGCAAGAGCTAGCAAGGCTAATGTTCAACAAATTATACAACAATAAATTATACAGCTTCATACCAAATACTTAACTGTCATTAACTTCCGTCACTGTCCTTGCACTCTCTGCTGCTAAATAACATCTCTCCTTCCCTGCCGCTTGTACAACATCACAGTGCAGTGATACATAAACAGTCAGTATGTCCTGAATTGGAGGTCAATTCCACCGCATCTCTTAAACTAGCTGGACATAGGAGAGCCTCGCAGTTTCAGTGTCAAGAGTTCAATCCGATCAAACTCTTCCTCTTTTACTTCAACCTCGTGCTCTGAAGCATAAACGTCCGGTGTGACCGCATCACGATTCCTCCTGAGGGTGTTTTTTTTTTTTTTTGGAAGAAGTGAAAGCATGAAAGCAAACAAAACATTGGAATAACTTACTGAATATCAGTAGAGAAGTCCTGAATTTATGTAAAAGTTGAATCATTGGATTCAGTGCTGTTGGTAGTTTAATGAGTTGTTTCACACAAATTGCAAAAAAAAAAAACAACTAAAATAAACATGTCCCTCTCTCAAAGCTTAGTGGTGTCCATTCAAGCAGATAGGTGTGGTTTTATTTGCACAGGCTTTGAGATATCTGCCCCAGAGACTTGCAGGCAACCCAGTACAATCAAAGTAAAATATATTTAATTTGCAGCACTTGAAGCATTAAAAATGGCATTTGGAAAATTCGACAGCAATCTTTCCATCCGGGAACAATGTCCTAATCACTCTGAAGAATCCACAAATACCTCTGTATACATTTTTCACTATTTACTTTGACCTTTGGTAAAAAGGAAAAATTAAAAAATTAAAAATTGTTGATTAATAAACTGAATAATGGTGTTTTTTATGTATGTACGTCACAAATAAAATTGTATTCACTCCTATTATATCTTATAAGCTCAAAGCCTGGGCAAATAAAACCAAACCACCAGGGGTAAGTAAGAAAATATTGTTCTGATTTGGTTGAACTAACCCTTTACACACAGAATTCATTATTTTGCACAGTTTCATGAAAACAGTCCACCCTGGCAGTGCTGCCTGAAAAAATACATGAAATAAAATGTCTGTCCTGCAGCTCATTCAAAATAAGTGTCTGGTGAATGATGATAATGTGTAATATTTAGCACTATTTTTGTATCCAAAAAACATGTCTAAGGGAAATGGCTCTGCTACATGTTTATCTTTTTGCTGGTAGCCTGTTATTTAATGAACAGTATGGTGATGTGTCAAATATTTTGCAAAAATGCTTAAAAAAAAAAAACTTCATTGCTTTTAACTGTTGTAATTTATCTGGGTCACTTTAAAACGTTTCTGGCTCGACGCTTCCTTTTAGTTTGCCCTGTAAATAGTCAAATTTATCACGTTTATTTCAAATAATAGATTGGAAAAAAGAATTTTATTAAGTTTAAAATAACACTGAAATGATATACTGACAGTTTGTTGGGACCGTTGCAGGTTTTGCGGGGCTTGTAGAGATGTGTAACTGACAACTGTTGTATAGAAATGTACATTTTTTTGTAAAGATATTTTTATCAAAAGGCATGTTTACTGTAACTTTGTATTTTCAGTTCATGTATAAAAACAGTATATTCCAACTGTTGTAAGGCTAGAAAACTCATCGTCATTGTAGATAACTATTTGTGTTCTTATCAGTCAATAAAATGTTTGTGTCATATTCAACTAGTCAAATGTTTCAATGATCAACACTTTATTTTACAAATAAATATGAACTGAAGGACAAAGACAACCTTTTGGCTTTATTGCAAAGTCGTACATAAATACAGATGCCATAATTGCTTACAGATGGTTTGCAGACATATGTAAATATTTGGTGCATCATTAAGGCATGCCACTTAAAAATCCATTCTCTCCACTCATTACCAGGCATCTTCCTTCAATGCAGAATGCTCATTTAAGCATGATTTATATAGTTGTTTATGCAGCCCATGTGCCACACTTGCCATCAAAATGACACTTTAACAAGTTGCACAGCTTCAGTGTTTGAATACATGTCAAATTAATGTCAGTCAACAGAAAACTGGACACCATAACGGCAGCTTGTCATCTTGTGTTTCACTAATGGCATCAGTCTCGCTGGCTGCCAGTTGATATCACTGTGTACCTAACGCAATCTGACCATAGCAGCATGCCCACCTGTGGCAGGTCATTTTACACCCGACTAATAACAGTAAATGATTGTAAGAATGCACCAACCCGATCAAAACGTATGCATTTCTGATCTAAAGATTATGTTACTGAACTTCAGAACTGGATGTGAAGTTTATTTTCCCACTTTGTTTAATTTAGCACAAATACTCAACATAATTAAATTGGCCTGCCTGGGCTAAATCTGACACATGTACTCAGATCATACTGATTTCAGTTCATTAGTAAGTATAACTACAGTGTAGAAGGGGAGAAGTAACGAAACACTATTTTCATAACTAACTCTTCTCACTTAAATTTGTATTTCTAGTGAAAACTATTCATCTCCAGTGATTAGTGATTTTACATTTTTATAATAAACTAAGAGATTAAGTGATCCTGTATGGGTTGAGAAATCTGTCTGATTTCTTAAAGGCCCTCAAAATGTGTTTTGGAGGAGTTTCTTCTGAAATCAGTGACCATCTCTTTAGTTGTGAAGGTCCAATGTGTAACATTTAGGAGGATCTCTTGACAGAAATAGAATATAATATTAATGGGTCCATTTTCATTGTGTATAATCACCTGAATATATGAATTGTTGTGTTTTTGTTACCTTAAAATTAGCCATTTTTATCTATAGACATCGCGGGCTGCCTTCCATGGAGTCCACCATGTTTCCCAGAATGGACAAACCAATGTTCTGGCCACCATAGTTTCTTCATCATGCTTGGAAGGGGAGCGTGAAGCGACAGTGTTGCGATCTACAACTACATGGCTAGATGCAACTAAATGCTACTGGACTGGACTGTTACTCTTAACATAAATAATACTAATAATAAGATTTTTATTTTTATTTTGTTTTACTTATTAGCTTGTTGTGAAGGTTTAATGTTATAACAACATTCTTAAGATTTTAAACCAAGTTTTTTGGGGGGTTTGAAGCTAAAATGGAAATAAATTAAAGTTGCACATACTCCACAAATATTTGCCATCATGTAATCAATACCGTTGTTATGGCTGAAAAATGATAATAGTGTAACTATTTAAATTGTGGAAGAACATATGAAACCATAGATTTGTTGTTCATTGACACACAACCCTCATACCTTTCACATGTTTTTGACAGTTAAATCAATGTCCAGAAAATTGTATCCTTCTTGACAGGTAATGGAAATAAGGTGAGAGTTCTATTGATCCATGGGGGGAAATATTGTATTGGTCAGAGTTCGGGATCAGCTCCAACCCAGAGGTGCCACTAGAGCTGCTGAGTAATTGCTGTCACGCTGAAGGACATTCAGGCAGGACATTGGGGACTTGTACTTGTGTCCTCTGGTCAAGCAATAGTCTCCAAACTCATTCCACTTGCCCTCAGTTAGATTAAGAAACAGCCCAGCTCATGTTCTTCACTTGGGAACACAACGTGATTTAAAGGTTGATTTTGACCCTGATTTGGCCTTGCGTATTTTTTTTTTGCACTTGACTGTGCAAAACTCAGAGCACAATCAATCTGCAGACATTGTACTGTCCCTTATTTCCCAAATTGGTCTCAGAGCTGTTACAGCTGGGACTAACATTTTTTTTCTGTAGTTTGAGCAGGGTTCACTGAAATCACTGTTCTGCAAGTCAGTTCAGTGTGTGATTTACAGCCTTTTCACAGTTGGATAGTTTTTCTAGTCCACATGGACCATTCTGTTTTGATTGTGTCTACTCCTGAAAATCATTTCTGAGCTGCCTGTCCCTGAAATCATTGTTCAAGCCATGTAATGAGTCCACTCCTATAATCTCAAGGGCAGTGTCTTAAAATAACACACGCAATTAATCATAAAGAAAGCTTGATTCATGCAGGATTTTCTATATAACATATAAGGTATTTTGCAGAGGATCTAAAACAGCTGCTGCAATGAAGACAAGAAATTACATTAAAGCAAGTCCTTGTTGAGGTTGAGTGTTTGTAGTGAGTTTAACGCCTCAACCTGCTGTGTGTGTGTGTGTGTGTGTGTGTGTGTGTGTGTGTGTGTGTGTGTGTGTGTGTGTGTGTGTGTGTGTGTGTGGTTAGAGATGTCCTCCTTGTTGAACTACAACATTCATGTCCTTGAAAGGTTTCAGGATGTCACTTCCACTCTTTTAGTGACTCAGTAAAGGTAGCTGGGCAGCAACAGATGGCCGATTTAAAGCCCCCCATTTATCCACAGTAAAAGGTAATGCAGTAAGGTTAATGAGGGCCAACGTCAATGCCACACACAATTAGCCTGCTGTATTAAGTCCACAACACCAGTGGCTGGCATGATTGCACACAGCTGTTCCCGTTTAACCTATATATGGGCAAACATTTCACCCCGGCTTAATGCGCTGGAGTTTATTCATTTATACAGAAATGACTGAAGCTTCTGAAGTGAAGAATAAAAAAATTCTGCCATGATAGTGATGAAAATGACTACACGATTTTTATTCCAGTGGAGCTGTTAAGCTTCTGCAATATTGATTTTTTTCACAGCTGTGGAAATAAAAAATAGATTATTGGTGCTGCTGCTGGCCACTCGGTCATCTCTGGGAATGTGTGTATATATTTTTAATTCAAACAAATGTGCTACTCAGTCTGGCCCACAACCATCAACTCGTATGTGTTTACAGTCTCTTTCCATTTGGGAAATAAATCTTTGCATATAGATTTGAACCTCTGAATTATCTCAACAGTGGCAACCACATGGATTACTGTGATGGAAAATATATTTAGAAGCAGCATTGGGGTGATAACTCATACTCTAGATTTGTATCTCTTTCTATATATGTGTGTGTGTGTGTGTGTGTGTGTGTGTATTTACAGTATAAAACCCCTAATATTGTACTAAATTCCAGAAGTTTTAGGGCATTTTCTTTATTGCAAATATTCATTTCCCCAGCTCGCTAAACAAATCTTAATTAACATTTATATTATATTAGCTCAGGGGTGCATGATGAGCATACTTTCCTCGTCTGATTTGAAAAATATTTAAATGAATCTACATGTGTTGCCAATAATCCAAATGTCGAGCTGCAAGAGCAGAATGAAGAGTCACGATTTTCATCTCTGCACCAGGCTTTAATGAAATCAGGGGAATTTGTGAAGGAAACAATGAAGGATGAGGTGTCACAAAGTCATTTAGTTTGGTTCGAGGCTAGCAGGCTAACATTAGCCTTTAGCTCTTCAAGGTGAATGATATCAGCCATTTTGGGTTTGACTGGAAAGTACAGTTGATGTTAGTTGATCTATCAGTGTCTGATTCATATTTTTCAGATGATTACAAAGTCAAATGGTTGTAACAGTTCTACTAACGTTACATGAACAGACATTTACAGCATGTACAGCGGCTTGGTGAGGAATGAAAGCATCTGAATTCTACAGTACATCTTCCACAAATTGTTTTATTGCAATGATATTACATTGATTTAGGAGCAGGAGAGAACAATCACTCCTCCCGTCCTCGAGCTGGGAAAGTCATCGGGTTCTTTAGATGACATCCATCATGGGGTAATTTAAGATTGAAAACATGTCACTGTGATGTATAGTGAAGGTATAGTGGGGAGCAGCTTGCATTGTAAAGGTTAATCCAGTTAAATCTAAGTCAGAAACAGACAGCTGTGCTCTATGTGTGGTTTGGATTTGCAGTTTCAGCAGAAACAAAATGTCAGACACGAACTGAGAATCAAAAAGACAAAATGTACAGCTGAAAGTTTATTGATTCTTATGCAGAAATTAGAGAAGCGAAAGCAGCATGACATACAGAATATGAAGTATAGTGGTAGTGCTCATGAAATAAAATGTATGTGTACATTCACGGATTCTCACTCAATGCATTATTCGTCAAGAAAATCAGTTTCTAAAGCTGATTTGTTAATATATTAAACGGTGCCCTTTTTTTTTACATCCATGTTTACTTTGTATAATAATTATCTGTGACTTCATCATTACAAGTGACACCTTTCACATTACATTTAGTCTACTTATTTTGGATTTTGTGGATGTTTGATATCAGTTTATTGATGCTGAGTTTCATACATTTCAAAAATGCAACTTACAGAATTTGAGAAATCTGCAACTTAAGACCCTTACTGTTAACCATGTTCATGTTTTTGGCATCTATTTTTATACTTACTGTTTTTATATCTGCACTCTTTCCTACTGTACATCAACTGCTGCTGCTTAACTCAAATAAAATGGCAACAGCCAGTACAAAAAGTGGAAAGAGGATGAAACACATCTCCCCATGCAGTGGAAGATCTGACTGCTGGAAACAAGAAGGAAGTAATCCTCATTACCTATGCAGCTGTGTGGGCTGAGTTATCCCTTCGGTTCTGCACTAATTGCTCTGAATCAATAAAACTGTATAATCCAAAGGAAAAGTTCTCAGTCACATTCAGGGCATCATGACCTTGGGAGCTCTTTACGTACTAGAGACGATGCATTTATCTGTGTTTTATGCTTTCCAGAGGAGCACATTAGGAGTCACCGTCTTGAGAGAGAGAGGGTGAGACAGGCAGGCAGACAGAGGG